TAAGACAACGCCCTCCTTTCTCGCCACACGAAGATTTCCATAAAAGACAAGTAGAATCAATGAGATTACCAAACAGAATTGGTGCCGGAATATATCCAAACAAACGGAATATAACGAACTGCATGCCAAGGGCAAATGATCGCTCTTCTTCGGATACTGATCGGAGAACAATCATAAGAAGGGGCATTTGAGTGGCTGCCACTATAAATGTCATAAAGAAGAGTAGTATAAGGAACGGATAAATGTTGCGGCATGGATTGGCACAAGGACCGGCAGTAGCAACAGGAACTACAGTAACTTCAGCAAAGTTTTCGTTGGCATTCAAAGCCTGGGCCTGACTGCCTCCGGCTCCCATATAAATGCTGCTGGAAATGTTGGCATGAACACCTAGAAAACACAAATAAGTTTATTGTTTCTCTCCTATCGAACCGGTTTAACTATATATGTTTACTTACATGCACAATTTGTGTAATTGGAGCTGGAGGAAAAGGCAGTACATCCCGCATGGCAAGGACTAAAATATGTTAAACCATTATTGCCACACACTGGTTCAACATCACTGGTTAAACATTCACAACCGAAATTGCAGGCAGCTGTTAAATTTACTTGGAATGGTTCCAAAGCTCCATGTTTGGAATTATTGTAGTAAGGCATAGTGGTGCCGGCCATCTTGAGATTGTCGCAGCCCAAGAAGAATAACAATGCATAACATCCCAGACAGATGATATTGGAAATTAAAACAAATGTTACAGCGCCTTTTGGCTTCAACTGGAATCGCTTAAGTACACATCCGCCAATAAAGATGCCGATGCAAGCTCCTGGTATGGCAATGGACCCAGTAAAAACACTTGCCTGACTTTTGCCGACACTAAATTGGGTCTCCAAATATTTGGGCAGAAATACCACGAAACCCGAAACGATCATCAATTCCATGCAGGCTCCAAGGCATGTGACAATATAAACGGGATTGGTGACTAAACGTAGCATGGACTGTGGTATATCTGCAAATATGGAAAAATTTGATGGTAACATATTTCGAACTACGAGCCATATAACAGATTACCTTTAATGTCTTTTCCATAACCGGTATCAACTTTTGGCTTTTCTGGTTCATCCTTGGGAGCCACCGATACTATCTCTTTTTTGACTCTACCAATTTCATCAGTGGCTCGGGGTAAACTGTTTGAGTTATTCGGTATTGCCGGTTGCACAACAACAGATGTTTTGCGAATTTTCTTCTTTTCATGTGTGAGAACCTAAACAAATATTAATTAATTTGATTTAAATCATTATTAATAACCGGTACTTTTGGGAATGCCGCATTTATTGAAAAACATACAGATCTCCATAATTTGCAATGAATTGAAATCTCCATAATTTGCAATGAAATTTTAAAATTACAATTGTCAATGGTATCGCAAAAAAAAAAAAAAAATATTGCCTTTATTTTTACTTTTCATATACATATGTATGTATGTTTATTTTGGTCGAACCGAATTGTAATGAAAAAAAACACAGTACAAGTGTAATATTCCCTTCATTACTTGAATCGGCAGAAACATTGAAAGTTCTGCAAATATTGCGCGATCGTTATATGCAACTATTAAAACTGGTATAGTATTGAAGTTTCGATGGGAAAATCCACATAAATTAACTATAGAACAACAAAATACTTTCGAACTATGCATTAGTTTTCAAATATATATACTCTTAATTACATTACGAAACGCCACCACTACATGAACTCAATTTCGAACCATTCTCCTTCGACTCTGATGGAATATTCGCAGCCATTCAACTTACCTTTGGAAATGAGAAAAACGGTACTGCAACAATAAGTAGCAAAACTCCGCACAATAGAAATCCTCCCCACCACATTCCTACCCATCGACGATCACCCGGATCTGAAAGAAATTTTATCAAATGTTATCATTCTAAATATATTCGAGCTTATTCTCATCGCTCGCATACCAATCGAAATTATTGAAGAGGATAACGAATCCATGTGGAAGGACAGCAAATAGGCACCCAACAGGAAACCAACAACCGGCCCAAATGCAGCCATACTGTACATACAACCAATATACATGGATGAACTTTCGGTTTTCACATGATCATCAACATACGTTGTGCCCAAGGTAAACAAAGGACTGCCACCACAGCCCAGTAGCAGTTGAGCGATAACGAATAGTAGTACAGGACCAAAGGTAGACAATTTACCCTCCAGACAGTTGTCCTCTCGCAGTGTGTGTGGTGCCAGGGGCGGATTAGATAGACCACTGGACAATCTTCCCAGGTCCATGTCTTGGTTGCGCACTAATGCACTGCGACATATGTTGTCCGTTGTTTCATTCGCTATACTAACACCAGGGTTGGGTTCCCCGGTGAAATGTGGAACCATAAACACCAAAGAGCCAATTCCCATGATGACCGCTCCTATTCAACGAAATTATCCCATTGTATGTGGAAAACATAATCGATAATTAAATGTTTGCAAACTTACCAATGCCAATCCATACTGGTATGTGACGCCTGCTTCCTAAATAGCTTACAAATATAACTGTAATCACATTGCCAATTTCATAACTGGACGCTATTAAGCCGGAATAACTGGACGGTATTTCAAAACGCTTCTCGATGGTTGTTATCACCGAATTGATATAGCCCGAACTCAGTGCCTGCTGCAGTGTGACCAACATCGACAATAGGAGTACGAATATCTTTATGCGTGCGAATTTCTGTACGCCTCTGGGACGGCACGCCATTATGCCACAGTCTTGGGAACGCAAATCGTCATCATCGTCATTAAGGCCACATGTTGCATTATTACCTGCCACAGCATAGGCATTTTGATTTCCATGTAAATTATTATGACTATGCAGGGTATTTCCTAGGACAGCCGACGATTGACGGCTGTGACACTTTATTACCGAATCTGAGCAGGATGATGTTTTGGCGTGGAGATTTCGGGCATTATTTGTAATTACGGTTGACATTGTCGTAGTTGCAGTACTGCCAATGAGATTTGATGGACCACTGGCTAATGTACTATCTTCGGCTAAATCAATGCTGCTGTCATCGCCACTGTTCGTTTCCGAATAGAGGCCGGTCATTTGGTACATTGACTCCTGTCGTCTGCAATAGAAAAATACAAATAAAATTCAGAGATTCTGTGTATATAATTATTTCTAAATGTACTTCCATATGTTTATAAAGGGCACACAATAAGAAAATGAAAAATATATTAAAAAGAGGAACCCACAAAAAATTCCCGTAAAATCCATTAAAACTAAAAATTGAGTTTATCTAAAAGAACATTTAACAGAAAACCATTTAAACAATGGATGACAGATAATTTTTGTACTAGGCTATAGACCATTCTTGGATAAAAAATGGATTTTATCCAAACATGTTATCCAGAAACTATTTACAGTTTCTAATGGGGGACATAATATCAGTGCTAATAATATCCTAGACCGAATATTTCACTGAAATAATGTTGGTACATTATTTGAAACCGATAAATATCAATGACAGACATAGTTGCTATAGGAACTGAAATGCACTATTTTCATCAATCTAGTTCTTAATATTCTGTTAAAAATCCAGACACGTTGTAACCTGTACGGGTTGACAAGGTGATACATGTCGAGGAGTTACAGACTGGGCACTTGGCATGAGAGATTTTAGTACAGCCTCATAATCTAAAGGTCTTCTTCATCTAGATCATAAAGCTCTCTCCTAACGTGTCTTGCTATGACCGTCGATAGTAACCAAGACAGTTCCTGCAGCAATGACGTAGTTATCGTCACAGTACTGCAGTTATAGGGAGTTAGCAGTCGTTAGCATTGTCAAGGAAACTTCTTATAAGTATTGACTAAAGCTGATCCGATGTGTCACTAACAATGAGTTGTATTAATGACAACTGGTTCCAGCTCATTGATGGGAATCATAAGACAGACATACACAGCCGACTTTTGTTTGAAAACCGGCAAATGAACAACTATTCGTGTAATGGAAATTGAAATTCGTTTGTCCAACAAAACACGCTTTCACGTGCTACAATTTGACGAAATATCGAACAGGAGTTTTTGTGGTTAGCAACAAGAAAAAACTACCACACAGATGAAGTCTAATTTTTTTATCGTGTAACACCTCACTGTCAACACACTGGCACTGACACTATTTAGCATAGGACTCAGGAAGTCATTCGACTGGCTATTACGAACGATGTTCATGTTTATCCTGCCACAATTGTAATACCAGCGAGACTGACATGCCGTGTTTGTTATGACCGACCTCCAACAAAAGAGTTATTGATTTTAGAACACGTCAATTATTTACAGAGGACAAATACAAGCTTGTAAGGCACTGGCGTAGTCAAGGGGAAAATTAAAGGGGCCTAAATTCCAACTGAATATGAATTGTAAAATGTTGAGCTGATGTTAGAACTTACCTGTGACCCTTGCGATGTGAACTTATATTGCTGTGAATGGCACAACTGCCATTATCTGTGGCAGCATGACACGAACTGCCACTTGTACCTTCCCCGGATTGGCCCTGATTGTCGCTGTATCTTCGGGAGCTGTACGATGGTCCGATATTGGTGTCTTGTTCAAACGAAGGATTTACATATTGCTGGTCCGTGTTGCAACTGCAATGGCCGGTCTTTTCCGGTTTCTTTCCGGTCATGATTACAGCATTCGTATGACTGCTTTAAAATTGTAGTGATTTTTGGAACTTGAATTTGTTGCTGCAACTATCAAACTATCCAATCCAAATCTACAGCATTTCCTCCTGAAATTATTGAAAAAAACATAATAATAGTCAATATTACATTGCTGACATGGAAATGAATTTGTTCGTGTTTCTAGTTTTGACTATAAAAATAACAATTAATTAATAACTAAAACAGTATGTATTTATGTGAGTGTGTGCATCGTTACATATCGTCAGCAAAAATGCAAAAAGGCGTAACTAACAAAAAAAATGAATGAAGATTGTGAATGTCAATAAACTACATGTGTTGACAAAGTTTTACACGTCTGCGGTCAAAACAGGAGCTTCTATTAACAAAAAACAAAAAGACGTAACTACGAGTGGGTTTATTTGATAAATGCATAAAGGCGTAACTAACAAAAATTCACGTTCTTACTTAATTGTTATGACTGTCATTAAACTAAATGACTAAATTTGTTAAAAAAATTATAGTCTATTATTCGTCATCACCCTGCCAGGCACAATTTTTCATTTCACATGACATGTTTATAGTTTTCATTCAAAACAGTTTTTTGCTTCTCTTACACAAATGTGTTTTTGTTAGTTACGCCTTTTTGCATTTTAGCTAACGATATGTACATATATTGATATTGTTAATTTAATCTAGAATTGCAGAAAACGACATTGTTTTTTCTGCAACAACGACGAGTGAGTGATAGCAAATCTACCAGTAGATATTTGCATGCAACTAATTGCCCAGTCTGTCATGTGAAGTTCCCCATTGCATTGGGGCCCGACTCTAGAGGCCCATGTCACACCCAAAGTCAATTAAATCATGTCACTGTGATTGTACGCAGACATTTTGTCCTGAAAGCATTGCTATTTACAGGCAGGCAATATTACACTCTCACCGAGAACAACGAAAAAGTCCTCCACATATACTCAGCCACATGGGAATTTATTTGATTGCTGATGTGGGTATGCGAGTATGTCTGTCCGTCTGTCTGTTAACAGTGAAGTGTATCACAATTACGAATTACGTTTTGACTGACAAAAACAGTTACATATAAACGTACATATGTACGTACAATGTTAGACAAGTAAACAGAAATGACGCTTAAACAATAATGGCCATGTTCCTGAATAGTATTCCTCTTTCTTTGGGGCCATTATCAAAACAAAGACAATAAAAAACATGAACCCGGATAGAAAAGATCGATCCACTTAATATGTACGAATGTATCAGAAAATAAAGCAACTTTGGGGTAATTACAAAGTAAAAACCAGTAAGGAAAGTAGTAAAGTCGGACGGGGCCGACTATATGATACCCTTCACCACTATGGGTATATTAAACAGGACTATTAACATGAAATTGGATGAAATAAAATATGTGATATTTATCTAAATGTGAATCTACCTAGATCTGTCCATAAAGTATGTTAATCGACTTCAAACAAATATAAATAAGTCCGTTGGGCTATGTCTGTACTTCTAGAAAACGCAACTACGTAATTGTATGCTCAATTTTGTGCGTTGTGCACAATTTGATGTCAATCTGACTAACATGAGGAGTCTGATGCCCAATTTACTTGAAATCGGTCGAAAATATATATGGAAGCTCTATCCAAATATTAAGCGATTTCAAACAAACTTGTCACAGGTTAGGTTATACTAATTTCAGAACGTTTTGTTTCTATTGGTTCCTTAGTACGTCAATTACTTAAAATCAATCTATAATAAAAGGGAGCTATATCTAAATCTGGACCGATTTTCACGAAACTTAGCATCATTTTAGGCTCAATTCAGTACGTTATGACAAATTTCGTGCAAATCGAAAGTTATATAGGGACTTTGGGGCACCATTTACATGAAATCGTACGAAACTATATGTGGGAGCTATATCTAAATCTGGGCCGATTTTCTCGAAACTTGGTAGACATCATTCTAGGCTCAATTCAGTGCGTTATGCCAAATTTCGTGCAAATCGAAAGTTATATAGGGACTTTGAGGCACCATTTACATGAAATCGGACGAAACTATATATGGGAGCTATATCTAAATCTGGACCGATTTTCTCCAAACTTGGCAGACATCACTCTAGGCTTAATTCAGTACGTTATGCCAAATTTCGTGCAAATCAAAATATATATAGGGACTTTGGGGCACCATTTACATGAAATCGTACGAAACTATATATGGGAGCTATATCTAAATCTGGACCGATTTTCTCGAAACTTGGTAGACATCATTCCAGGCTCAATTCAGTACGTTATGCCAAATTTCGTGCAAATCGAAAGTTATATAGGGACTTTGAGGCACCATTTACATGAAATCGGACGAAACTATATATGGGAGCTATATCTAAATTTGGACCGATTTTCTCCAAACTTGGCAGACATCACTCTAGGCTTAATTCAGTACGTTATGCCAAATTTCGTGCAAATCGAAAGTTATATAGGGACTTTGAGGCACCATTTACATGAAACCGGACGAAACTATATATGGGAGCTATATCTAAATCTGGACCGATTTTCTCCAAACTTGGCAGACATCACTCTAGGCTTGATTCAGTACGTTATGCCAAATTTCGTGCAAATCAAAAGATATATACGGACTTTGGGGCACCATTTACATGAAATCGTACGAAACTATATATAGGAGCTAAATCTAAATCTGGACCGATTTTCTCCAAACTTGTTAGACATCATTCTAAGCTCAATTCAGTACGTTATGCCAAATTTCGCGCAAATCGAAAGGTATATAGGGACTTTGGGGCACCTTTTACATGAAATCGGACGAAACTATATATGGGAGCTATATCTAAATCTGGACCGATTTTCTCCAAACTTGGCAGACATCACTCTAGGCTTAATTCAGTACGTTATACCAAATTTCGTGCAAATCAAAAGATATATAGGAACTTTGGGGCACCATATACATGAAATCGGACGAAACTATATATGGGAGCTATATCTAAATCTGGACCGATTTTCACGAAACTTGGCAGACATCATTCTAGACCTAAATGATTAAGCTGTACCAAATTTCGTGCAAATCGAAAGATATATAGGGGCCGTTTACATTAAATCGGTTAAATATATATATGGGAGCTATATCTAAATCTGAACCGATTTTTCCCAATTTCAATAGGGTTCGTCCTTGGGCCGAATAAGTGACCTATACCAAATTTCATTCAATTCGGATCATAAATGCGACCTGTACTTTGTTTACAATTTAACATGGACAGACAGACAGACAGACAGACGGACGGACGGACGGACATGCATAAATCGACTTAGAAAGTGATTCTATGCATATTCTCAAAAGGAACCATGTGTCTATCTCGTTTCCTTTTGCCTGTTACAAACATATGCACAAAGACATAATACCCTGTACCACAGTGTGGTGAAGGGTATAAAAAGTGCCGCAAGAATTTCGGAAATTACCAAGACGTAGCCAAATACGAAAATTAAAATATATTTTGTTATTTTTCAATACGATACTGCCTTCGTAGCTTCTGCTTGGTATTCAAATGTAGATTTGATGGCAAACATAACATTCATTTGAATTAACAAAACGTCGGCGATAAGAGGAGTTCTTCAACATTTCGCCATGTGTCATGAATTCAAAATAAGGTCTGTCATCGTTAATAAAATCAATCTTTTAGTCGTCTATTAACTATAATATTTTGGTTGTGGGCTATTCTATATAGAAATAAACGTATGTACGTGTATTAAATAAACATTTATGATTTGGAAAAATATTGCAGTGTTATGAAAAAGTTTAAAACTTTGGGGGGTTGTTTAATAAAAATACTAAAGCGGAAAAATAAACATCGTAGATAGTCGAGCTCTTCATCCCTAATTTGTAATTTTTAAACTTCAGAAGAACTTTTTGATAGCTGATCTTTGATATTATGTTATTTTTAATGGTCATATTGGTCCATAATTGTTTTTAAATAAAACAAACTTGGAACTATACATCAGATTTACATGTTTATTAAATATGTCCCAAAATGTGCAATGACGATTGTACGTGGACACATAAATTGTATCACAAATAGGGTTAACATTAAAATTTAATTGAAATATTATCACCAAACCTAATAACCAATTCCTGGCATCCAATTCTTTTCTATAAAAATAATTTTGTTTCTGTACAACAATTATGTAGGGATAGCTCCCGATTTTTTTTTAATAAGTTTAGATTTGAAACAGAAAAATTTAGATTCTACTAGAATTACCCAAATTTCTACATACATAAGAGTAATGTAACAAAGTTTTAGACGAAATCAAAATAAAACTAGTAGAGAATATGTCAAAACACATTTAAAGTTAAAGAAAAGTATAAATTGTGGATAAAATATTAAAAATCGCTTAATATTTTGATTTTTTCTTGTACGTTCAAAAGTGTTCGAACTGAGTTGTTTTTCATTTTATTTATACCCGGCCCGTTTTTCAATTCTACCCGGCCCGGCCCACTGGTTTCTTGTATCGCATATTCACATTTAGCAAAATGTGCTTTTTGTGCTTACTTCTGTCACACCTTCTTACAAATTGAAAAGATGCTATTGAATGCTTAACCGCCCACGAAAAAATGGAATATGCGATGATGAGGACTCAGGACTTTATATCGAGCATAGCATAGACAATGTTTTGAGAGTACACCCAAAAATGCAACAAACCTGAATTCCAGAATACAGAACAAGTTAATATAACTAAATGATGAATACAAGCAGAAGTCTACTGTTAAAGAAGTGAAGACTGCTTCATCATTATGGGTTTTAGCGGGTGAAACTATACATATATAGTCTCATCCGCTTTTTGACAAGGTATCTAAAGAAGTAAAGGAATGTTTCCTTTGCTACGTGGAATTAGAAGGATAAACAGAAAAAGAATTTTCAAACGTCATAATAAACACAGCAATCAGTTTGGGTATGGATAAAAAATTTTAAGAGGTCAAGAATATTACGGCGCGTCTAACATGTCAGGCAATTATAATGGAGTGAGG